GCCTGGTGGGCACCAGAGCCCTAATTGCCAGCTTGCCACAGCTAAAGGAATTGAGGCCAAAACTGATACATTTCCTGAATCCTCCTCTGCCTGTGTCATTTGAAGCTGCAGGTGGCTGGATGCCCTTCTGGCTGTGGACATCCTTGGCATATGGTTTCTGCTGTTTCTTTGCATGTGGAACACCAGATTTTGGAAGTCCTTCTTTAATTAATATCTTAAGAATGGTTTGGGTTTTTTTCTTAAGCAAGCAGGTAGGTAAAGGGGAGATGCTTGGATAGGTCTTGGAAAGGATTTACCAAGATTCACCAGAAGATACATTGATGGGATAGGGAAGTTGTTTAATTCTTTAGAATTATTCAGCTCCTGACTGGAATACAGCATTTGGTATTTATCTTGCTCTGCCTGGAGTAATTTCTCTCACTCTGGGGTTTGTGTAAAAAATTTTTAATTGAGTTCAGAAACTAATGATTAGAAGTGACCATCTGTGACCCCTTAGTAGGCATCTGGATGCATATTTGCCACATCTGAGGTGTCGAGATAGCACAGCACTGTTGCTGATGGGACTAGAAGCCTTATCATCAGATATAATAATACTTTCCAGCTGCACTTGTTGTTTTTTAGTCTCTCCTAAATGAAAATGAGTTCTGCAGGTGGCTAATGCTAGAGGATAATTTGTTTCCGTGCTCGTTTGAAGCCTTGTAGCAAACCCAAAGCTGTGAATAAAAGATGGAAATAAAAGTAGAACGTGATTTCAGGGAAAAAACTCTCCATTTTCTGTGCTGGTGAAGTGACTAAGCCATGTGGCTGCTGATGCAAACCTTTCATCTGCCCAAGGAAAAGGGTTATTATCTTCAACTGAAGCTGATCGGGCACTGAGCAGCGTTTGAGCAGCACATCCAGGCAGATATTTGCATGAGAAACATGAAGATGAGACTTTGATGTATTTGGAACTTCTGAATTCCCATTATGTTTTTGATTGTACTGCCCCTTGGGAGTGCCTGGGACACCTTTCCTTTGGCTAAGCTGAAACCCAGGAAGGGAATTTCATGCTCTGTTCCTCCACATTATCTTTTTCATTCTGAGATAACTTTTCCTCTCCTCTATTTAGTTGAAGTCTGGAAAAATACGTTAATGACAGCAAGGCAGAGGCCATCAGCCTTGCCTTAGGGAGGCAGGGAGATGCTGGAGAGGAGAGGGAGAGAGGCTGGATTGCAGACTCCTGGCTGTGTTTGCTGGAAGGAACCTCTGCAGGTCAGCAGCAGCACTGGACCAGGACGTTTGCCTTGCTGAGACTTCCTGGGATGTTCTCTGGGTAACCCCCTCCTGTGCTGGGCTCCACTGGGCTGGCTAATTAAGAGCTAATGCAGATAATCATCATGGGCAATTTCCTGGATTTTTGGGGTATTTTTTTCCTGGTGGAAAACACTGATTTGCTTTAATGAAGTGTTAGGCTGATCTGGATCAATGAGCTGGAGGTTCTGACCCAAGGCCTGGAGCTTCATGGTGCCATCACCCACCCAGAGGTCTGGCTGCTGGGATGCTCAGCTTGAGGCCATAATCCCTGGGCTGTTGGACACCTGTTGGACACAGGAATTCTGTCTGAAGGTGCCTGCTTCCCAGGATAAAGTCTCAAAATGGCATCTTGTTTTCAAGAAAGGCAGGCACAGAAACAAAAAAGCTGATAAATGGATGGCAAAGCAGCAGAGTCAGTAGTACAGGACAGCTCTGACAAAAGCCTGTCTGTGGACAATCTGCAATCAGGGACACAGCAAGAGAAAGATGTGACTTCCCAGTGTGGGAAATTAAATGACTCAAACTGCTGTTTGCAAATAGATGACAACGAAAAAGTGGTGAGACACATAAATAATAAAGGGAATAAGAGGGTTAGCTCATATACTGGTCCAGCTGTGAAAAGGATGGGAATGGGACATGTTTTCGTGGTTACCTGGTGGACTATGGGTTAAACAAATGCTTTTTTTCCTCTAATCTTTTTACCATGTATGATCCTTTGCTTAGTGCAACTTATTTAACGTGTGATCAAGGGGGTGCAGGTAGTGCCTACTGATCCAGAAATGGCTACAAAAGGACAGAAAATAAAGTCACTGCAAATAATTGCAAAACCAAAAAGGACCCAGGAACAGAAAGTGAAGTCAATGATAACTAAGTTTTATAAAGCCAATTATTGGGGAAAAAAAATGAAAGAGGAAGGATTAAAAGGAATGAGGGAGTTTTGTCTTTACAAGCAAACTCCAAGGGTACAGCCTCCCAGCAAAACTGAGCATGCAGGGTTGTGCTGCTCCATGCTACAGCCTCATTGGCTGGAAAACAGAGAAAAAGCCTGGATTTTCAAAAAGACTTGGATTTTCTTGATTTTATTTTTTTTTCTCCTTTGAAAGAAAGACTTTTGCTTTGGAACAAGGTCAGGTAGATGTGGTCTCTACTGTGCAGAAAAAATTGTATGACACAGAAATCTTTAATTATTCCTTCATTTCTACTTAAACTTCATTATATTCTGCTTAGTTAGTTGGGTTATGGCTTCAATAAGCTCTTGAATTAGTCATATTATTAATGAAAAAAAAAAATCAAAAGCTAATTCATAGCCAAGTGTTCTGGTACTTGAAAGACTTAAATTTTTTTTTCTTGAAAACATGAGAACAGCTTGTCACGATTTTTCTTTTTAGCTTATTGTTGTGTACAGGAGTGTTAAATGTTTGGCATCTGAAAAAAAATTGGTAACTAATGCTCACCTAAATGTTTTTCTGCTGAAGGGATCTGTGATATGTGATTGTTCCAAGAATATCCTCTGAAGGGAAGCTCTGGGATGAAGGGTTAGGGATGACAAGGGAGCTCGTCAGGAGCTGCCACCTCCCGTTTCACAAGATCCTGAATATCTGCCTAATAAAAATCCCTACTGGCATAACCCATGGTGGAGCTTACTTACTAAAGCATTAAACCACCAGATCAGCTTGTAGATTGTTTTGTAGCTGGGTACTGCACGTGGTTTTTGCTGTGCAGCTCCCAAGCTGGGCCAAAAACCCCCTGTAGGAGTGGTGGGGACGTGGCTCTGTGCCAGCAACGTTCCCAGCAGGCAGACTCCTGGGGGATGGAAACAGCCTGCTCAAGTACCCATTGATTTCTCCTTCTCCTTACAGCTTTTCATCTGAACATTATCACATTTTTTTATTAAGTCAGCTTGTGACTTCAGTAATTTCTTTCATTAGGCTTATTCTGAAGACAAGATGGCTTAAAATTAAAAGCAACTTCTCAGCCGAGTTAACAGTCAAGCACAATTAAGTTAAATCATGCAACAGCAAGATGTAGGGAAATAAAAGACCAGTTTTGGCAGCAGCAGATCAATTATTACAATGCAGAATCACATGGAATACAACAACAGAATTTTTTTTTTCCTCAGTAACATGCCCTAGCTGCAAACCCAAACCCACATCAGTAGGTGTTTATAAACAATAACTGTCTTCTGAAAAATATTATTGAAATGCTTCTTGAGTGATGCTGATGTCAAAATTACTCTTATGCATGTGCCTGAAAGCAACATTTGACTTCCCAGGCTGTGTGCTGGAGAGAGCTTTGGTGAGCAACCAGCCACGGGGCTGGGGCTGGCACGGGGCTGTGCCAGTGCTGGAAATGCATCTGTGGGGGTCTCAGCTGAATTCCTGCTGCTGCACTGCTGAAGCTCCCTGCTGTAATCACCCTCTGCCAAAGTGCTGTGCATTGCCAGAGCTCTTGGGCTCAGGAGTGGCTCTGCTGCACAGAGATTTGTGTCTGTGTGCTCAGTGGATTTGGCCAGGAGAACAGCTAGTCAGGGAAGCTGAGCCCACAGCATCCCCAGGGGGTTTTGTAGGATTCAGGGAAGTAATTCCAGTTTGAGGAAGATAAGTCTCCAGGAGAATGAAGATAAAGTAGAGCAAAAGCTCATTTTGCAGAGAGAGCTGAGTGCTGCCCGCCCTGCTGGGACGAGCTTTGTGCCACAGCAGCCACCCTGCAGGTGTGTCCTGCACCACGAGGGTCCCCAGACAAGAGGTGACTTCTTTACACCATGGCAGGCACCACTTACCCAAAAGGGGCTGTGATTCAGTACCAGAGCTGTTTCAGACAGGGCTGGTGGCTCACTTCCGTCAGGCAGCACCTCATGAGCTCGAGACTTTTGTGTTTGCCTTGATCTGGGCATCAAGGCAGGGCTGTCAGTGAAAGTCCTAATCCACTTATGCTGGCAAGTTAGAGCAGGGATGAGTTTAGTTAAAGAAATAACTTTCCAGGATATAAATGGATGGATAAAATATAATTCTATTAAGGGATCCTTCCAGTCCTTGAATGGCACTAGTGATTGTGTGGGAATAAGAGGCACAAAGAGATTAGCAGCAATCTTTATTTCCCAAGCAGGTTGTCTGCTGAGATGCTGTTACATAAACTAAATGTTCATGTGTTAAGAAGTAATTGTGCAATTTTGTCTGGAGGGAGTCCTGGGCAAGAGCTGTTTCATAAGGGCAGAATTAGGAGAATTGGTCCATTGAGAAAAGTATATTTTGCAAATTTTAATTCTGGGTAAATGGGAACAAACACATTCCTGTGCCATACCGAGTGTCTCACCAGGGTGTTGCCAGGCTGGATGTTTGTAAGGAAGTCAGAGGAGCTGATGTGCCAGATGTGCTGGGTCCCCCTTGGGCAAAGTCCCCCCTCTGGGGGGATGTACAAGTACCCATTTCCCTCTTAGGGAACATCCAAAATAACTTGTGAACCTGTTCCAGCTGCACAGATGCTGAAGATGCCCTGAGTGACACCAACCCCTCTCTTCTCCACAGGCTGTCCCCACTGGTGGCTGGGGATGCTGAGGGGGTGGGTGATGTTGCAGGAGGGCACCTGGAGTTAAGCCTGTGGGAATTCTGACTGTAGCCTTCATCTGTCCTTTACATTAAAGTTGTCTTTCTTTCTCTTTCTTTCTTTTTTCCTGCTTCCTCCCCTGCCTCGTTCTGCCCCTCTTCCAGCAATGTGGACACCAAGGAGCTGTGTGGTGAGTGCAGTCCCTCCTTTTGTGCAATCATTGTGTGCATGAGGGCCTTGGAAGGTTGCACGAAACCCAGGACAGACTGCAGTGCTGTGGAGCTGGGGGATCTCAGCCCTGCTGCTGCTCTGCTCTGCTCCTTTCCACAGCAAAGTTGGCAGAATTCTTTCATTTTCTTGCAACACAAATGGGGTCAGAGCTAAGCGAAGCATAAGGATCCCGTTCAATAACAAGCTGGAGTTTAATTTCTGGAGATGTTGTGGCTTCCAGCTTCACTCTGAAGTTCAAAAACGTGTATCCCTCTGCAATACCTGTAACATGCTTCTGCCTGGGCCAGCCTTCGTGTTTCCCAGCAGGATGCCTCAGGGGTGCACCACCTCTGCTGTACCTCCCACAGCTTGCCAAAATTAAAGGCTGAACAGAAAATCTGTGATAATATTTTGTCCCACACCTTTACCAGAATGGGAATGTTTCCTGCTGGGATTTCTGAAGGGCTTTGCTTCTATAGGAGGTGCTCACTCAGATGTATTTTTCTGTGGATACTTGATATTGGGAAACATTTCCTGCACCCCAGCTTTTTTGGGAGGAGATGGAAAGAGAGGTGTGTGGCCTTGCAGAGAGCTCATCCATCTCTCCTCCCCTCCTGGATGCAGAAGAACATATGAAGCCATCCCAGCAGGTCTTCACCATTTACCTTCATCACTTTGCCACTAATTACAGCCTTTGCAAGTCAGGCTGGGAGTGGGTTGTGCAGACAGAGATGGGGTTACTGGGTGCCTGTGCCAGCACCAGGCAGTTACTGCTTGTTCCTGACTCCTTAAAGACTTCTCTGTCCATGGGTGTGCCTGCACCAGGACATTGACCAGGGTTTCTCTTCTCCTGCTGTACTCAACCCCTGCCCACACCATTTTGATCACCCAAGCTGGCAGCAAAAGCAGCAACATTTCCCCTTTCCACTGGTTATTCCTGCTTGTCCTTGCTTTGGTATGCAAGAAATGAGGACTTCCAAAATCCTTTTGGTTTTCTGAAGATGTGATGGGCTTGTTCCCATCTCTCGATTCTTACTGCATTAGGTCTCTCTGCCAGCTGACCCAAGAAGTCAAATCCCCACAGCTTGTACCATCAGCTTTGCCAGGAAACCCAGGGGTAACAAGGGCACTGTTTGACCCTTGACAGCTTTCTCCACCTCTCTGATCAAATCAGGATATTACACGGCTGTCACCCAGTGTGATCCCATCTCGCTGCCTCTCCCAGGGGTGAAGCTGCCAGGAGAGGAGGGAGATAAACCCATCACCTCCTGGGGAATGCTAGGGGAAGGAAAAGATCGATCAGCACAAGTTCCTGCCTAGATCTGTTATCTGCTGAACAGCTGCCCTTGCCTGTGATTTATTTGCTTGCTCCTCTTCTAGGTATTAAACATAAACCCTCAGTTTGTCTAAATGGGAGCTGTGGGGTCTCTCTTGAAATGGGTTGTGTGCTATAAAATGTTGAGAGCATCTTAAAAGTTATTTCTTGAGCCCTGCAGCTTCACATGGAAAAATAATGCTGAACCAGTGGAGCTGAACACTTCGTTACAGCCAACTCTGCTCTCCTCCCGTGTGCTCCTTGGTCAGCCTTAAGGGCTTGCTGTGCCCACAGCAGCTCATTCCTCCTGAAATGGATGGGTCCAGCTTTTTATTTCAGGACTTTTTCTAAGTCCTTACCTATCAGATCTGCTCAATTTTTCTTTCCCAAGTAGGAAGGAAAAACCAAACAAATGCCCTGCAATGAGAGTAAGCTGTTTACTTCTCACGGAACAGCTGCTGTCAGTAATGCTGTGACATTCCGGTTTCTGCCAAAATCTTCTTCCCTTTGGATATGTTCTCAGACTGTAAATAGCTATAGGCACTTCTAATTAAGCCAAGAAAACCTAATTAGTGGGATTGTTTCCTGAAGTGTATGTCTTGCTGCACTCCACAGAGATGTCACCTCAGTGTGAAACTCCATGTCCTCGTGCTGAGGAAGAGCACCAGTGGCTTTTAAGGAATAGCTTTTTGCTGTGCTCTGTGTCAATCACCAGAAACAGGGAAAGGACAAAGGTGGCACAGAGAAATTGTGGCTCCCTCTCCATGGAGAACACGTGATTTCGGGCCCAGCTTGCAGCCTTGTTCTTTTCCTTTCAAGGCAAATTTTACTCTCAAAAGCTTGTTCAACCTGTGATTGTGGGCTGCGGTGTAAATGTGATAGGAATGTAGGGAAAGATGTAAGGCCAGTCTCAGCTCATATAAATTGGGGTGAAGTGGAAGGTATTTGGATACTTTGAGTGGCAAAGAATGTCAAGGGAATGGAAAAGGGATTTATTTTGAGACCTCTTTCTCCATGCCAGCAGTAGGAGGGAGAGAGACCATGTACAATCAAATGCAGAGGTAGGCATAGAAATAAAGAACCTGATGAGTTATTTTCAATGGGAGCTGCTGGATCTTACATCTCCTTTTCTGCAATGGTCACAAACTTCATGGGAATCACACCACTTCCCATCCCTGCAGGACAAGTTGTGACTTTGGCCAAGGATACAGAGTATAAAAATATCCCTGGAACCATCCTCTCAGGTTTATGTTGCCACCAATAATAGATCTTGCTGTGCCAAGTAGCCTCAAGTTACATAAACATGTTCCCATCATATTTCTCTTGGTTTTCCCAGACTATTTTGTTGACCATATGGGAGACTATGAAGATGTTTTGGCCTCCCTGGAGATGCTGAACCTCTCCATCCTGAAGGCCATGGACTACACCAAACGGGTGAGTGCTCCTTCCTGCACCTCACGTTTCACAGGCTCAGAGTGAGGGTATAAAAGTTGCATTAACAGAGCACATCTGTAAGGTTCTCATCCTCTTCAGCAGTGCTGTGTCCTCCTGCTCTGCAGGCCTCTGGGTCTCTCAGGTGGGATTTTGAATGCATGAGTTGCTGTTAGCATCACTGACAGGGCTTTTGGAAACTTCATGTTGTAGAGCTGCCTTTAAATCCAGCTTCCACCTTGGAAGGCATCCTGCTTTCCAAACACAGTTGCTCCTGTGTGAAGCTGCTCTATTAGAAACAAGAGGGCTGTGTGTTTGAAGGACTGCAGAGGAATCATGCAAGCACCAAAACCGAGGCATAATGACCTGGTTTACATGTGCAATGTAGCCCTAAATCCTTAAAGATCCATCATGTATGTTAATGATACTGGATTATTATAGACAGTGACACTGATCAAGAAGCATATTGAAGTTCATTTATGAATACCTATAAAATCTGAGCTGATGTACCTTATAAACATCCCTGCTGAGAGGTGCACCACTCGTCTGTTGTCTTACCAGGCTGAGAGAAGTGTTTATAGAGCTTTATTTCCTTTGAAATTATTTTCCTGTCCTTCAATACCACATAATAGTGCAACTGGGCTGTGTCAGTGATATTTATTGCCCCAGGTTAATCAATCCCTTCTCCTGCTTCCACCTTCAACCACATTTGCATTGTTCTTTTGTGCCACAATGAATAAAAAGTAGTTTTCTTCTTCACTGGTGAGCAGTAAGGTGGTACACTGAGGGCCAAACCAGGGAGGAAGGTTTTGTCTTTTCCAAGCAGTTCTAAGCACTTCCCAATCCAACTGCAGCCCTCCTGCAAGCAATCCAAATTGTAATCTCCCTTCCATCTATTTTTGAAGCTAAAAGAGAAACTCAAATTACTCCACATCAAAGAAGTGACAATGATTTCAAAGAAGTTTCAGGAGTCAGAACAGGAAATGGCAAATTTCTCTCCCTTCTTGCTGCTAAGTAAAGAGCTTGATTTCCTTGCTTGATCAAAATCCATCCATTTTGATGTTTATGAGGAAGGCAGCATGGAAAGTGAAGGCACATGTTTAACAAATTGATATCTTGCCATAATAAATTAAAGGCAAAAGTCTTTGGCCAAGCCCTGATCTGTTTGAAGTGTTAGTGATTTTTTTATCCACATCACAAAAGGATTAAAAAAATCAGGACAACACTAATAGTTTGTTTTTTATGATTAAATTTCTGTGTCTGTTCATGTCTCATTTATATTCATTATTAGCAATTTTCATGACCATCAGGTTTGCCAGCTATGTAATTTAAATAAATATTAACATGCTAATAGAGATCTTAGTAATTCATTCCAACTTGCTGTTCGTGATGCCTTTCACCACTGTTTTTTCAATGTGACGTGAATATATATGACTAATTCTTCCTAATATTTTGCAAGAGGAAGGTGGTCTATTCCCTGCTTATAAATTAGGCATCTAAGCAGTTGGGTATTACCTTGTGCACGAGACATCTGCAGCAGAAGCAGGATGGTTATTCATAATCCAAACCCACTCATAAGAAGAATGCCTTTCTCCCTCCTTAATTCAGCAAACTGTGGCAGGATTCACCTGCTTTAATTGCAGCAGGTCAAGGTTATTTACCTAAACCTGAGCTGGTCACCTCCATCGTGAATTTGTGGAGAGAAACAGGGAGATCTGGAGCACTGGAGGCCTTCCTCCTGTGACACTGAAGGATCACAACACTTCATCTCAAATGCAGCCATTTCCCAGACCAGGTGAGGGAGTGCTGCCCCAGCATCCTCCCATCCCCTCATTTTATCAGCCCATGGGGTGTGCTGCTCTTCACTGCCTGGCAGATTTTTGGCAAGGGAGCAAGCAGAGCAAGACTCCATCACAGAGAGGAGCTGGCAAGGAAGTGTTTAATGAAAAACACTGTTCCCCACTGTGATTTTGTGAACAAAATGGTACAAACCTCATCAATGAATTATTCAAAGGCAGGCACTTTGTTCAGGTAAAGAGGCAGGGGAAAAGAAAACCCAACAGAAAATAAGTTATTGTGGGTGTAGAGAAACCTGTCTCCAGTGTTCACACAGGATATATCTGGCTTGGAAGGAATTTAAACCTTGTCAAGTTCCACCACTTTGCCATGGGCAGGGACACCTTCCCCTAGACCAGGGGCGTGTAAAGCCCCACCCAGCCTGGCCCTGGGCACTTTCAGGGATGGGGTAGTTTCCTTCTGCTCCATCTGCTCCCCATGGGAAGCTGTAACCAAGAGTCCCATGCTGATGGGGTAGCAGGATGTTTGAAAGATTCATACATTTAATATATAGTTTTAGAAACACTGGAAGAGATGAAAGGTGGCCAAAGCAGCAGGTTTTGGTAGAGTTAAGTGTGGTTTTGTGTCCCCTGATGCTTGAGCCTGTTGCTGTCCCTACACCTTTTATTGTGGCCAGATCCTGCAAAGGGCTGGGTGATGGTGCTGAGCACTGTGAGTTGAGAGCAAACTGCTTTTCTTGTGAGCTGCTCCAGCTTCTCCATAATAAAATACACATTTCCTAAGCTGGAGCTATCTATCATTTAGGAGTGTTCCTATTCCCTCCTTTTCAAACAATGTATTTGGGGCAAACAGTAAATGAAGTTGAACCTTTTTCTGTGTTGTCTCTTTGAGGGGTGCCAGCTGAAGAGAGGGCATGGGGAACCATGGCATTTAATTGCTGTTTATATTTCTCACCTTAAAAGACAACTGATTATTTCTTGCTCATAAAAAGAGAAAGCAGCAATTATCTCGTGCTGGAGGACCTCGTAAAGCATCAGCAGTAATTAGATTCAGAAGTGGAAGGTCTCACACAGCAAAACAAAATCTGTCATTGTAATTATTTTCCAATACAGTGATGTCCATGCTGCATTAAAATGACTGCCGGTGACAATTGGAAATGCAAAGTTAAATTGGAGAGAAAGGAAATGAACTTTTGGGTCCTAAATAAAGCTGACAGCAGGAAATGTTCCTATACAATTCTATTTTACTGTTGTATAGTGCAGTCAGCAAATAGCAAAACCAGCATGACTGGGAAGGTTTGTGTCCAGTGTCAGAGGGCGTGTGGAGCACGGTGGGAGCTGGGAGAGCAGAGCCAGGTTGGTGCTGTCCCTCCCCCTCAGTCACTGAGTCCCCTGCCTTAGGGGAAAGTGCCCACCCTATGCTTCCACCATCCTTGTCAGCTTTGGGGGTGGCAGGGGAAGTGCCCAGGCTGGCAGAGGTGGTGTCTACCACTGCACGCCCTCACCCAAACAGCCCAGGAAATGTGACTCTACTTGGTAAAAAGCCTGTGTGGGTTTCTGAGAGGCTCAATTAGCCTTGTTTCTGTCAGGTCCAGTTTCCACTGCCAGCTGCACTGGGATTGCTCCTGCTTCCAGCTTCTGCCAATTAAGCATTTTTGCAGGACTGACCATGGAAGCATCCATGACCTTAAGTGGTGAGGCAAACTTTAAAAGCAAGCTGCAAAGAAATCCAGAAAATGCTGAGTGATGAACATTTTCAAGGATGAAGCAGTTCAGATTTAGTCAAATCATTCCTTCCTGGGGATGCTCCTGTTGGGCAGCAGACAGGTCCAAGAAGCCCTGGTGACTGACCTTGGTGCACGCCCTGTCCCAGATGGAAGGAGGGTGGAACAGCAGCACAGTGGTGGCAGCTCTGGGTTGTGCCCAGCCCAGAAAATGTGAGCTGCTCAAGGCTTCTCATAGATTTCATGTTCTGGCCTTGCCTCACGGTGGTTAAATGAACAACAGCTGAAGACTTCTGGTCTGGGTTTGAAGTCTGTGGGGTGCCACTGCAGTGCAGCACAGGCAGGTCTGAAACTCTCCTATGATGCAGTTAAAGATGTAATCACAGTGAATGGCTGTGGCTGAAAAAAGAAAAGCACGGTGATGGGTCAGTGAATTGGTAAAGGATGAGTCAACTCTCCATGTGTTTTAAATGACACATTTCTGAGCAATTTCTGTATCAATTTCTATAGCAAAAAACAGATGCTGATCTCTGGAAAAGTTTTGGACTTTTGTAGTTGAACAATCTGAAAGGGAAGGAGGTGCTCTTGTTTAGCTTCTCCGAAAGTATTTCTGCAACTCTTCTCTGAAACTAATTTAAGAAAATATTGCACCACAAATTAAAACAAAATGTGCTGCTTCAGTTCTGCAATAACTGAATTTTCCCCAACTTTTCAGACTCCAGAGCAGAAAGCTGCTTCCCCATGTGATGCCATCCGGAGCGATTTTCTTGCCAGCTCTGCAGGGCTGTGCATGAGATCCAGCTGGGCTGCCAGACTGTGGGGAGCAGGAACTGGCAGGGGGATGAATCTTAAGGTCTCTCTTGGAACTTATTTTTAGATTAAGATCCTCATTCATTGCTCTTCTGTCTGTTGCTGCAAAGCTCATGTCCCTCCATTGTCTCTGAAAAGGAAAAGCATCTTCTCTGGAGGTCTTGCTTGGGCCGTCCTGGCTCCAGATCTCATGGACCTTCTGTAGGACATGGTTTTCCTCCTCTTCTCTCCCATTTTAGGTCTGTTGCTCCTGGGGTTTAGATGAATTGTATGGTGAAGGTGTCAGTGCTGTTGTCTTGCCAAATAGTCTGAGAGCAGCTTTGAAGGAGCCACCAAAAGGAAAGGCAGTGAGCAAGTCAAAACATAAGCATGTGGCACAGCCAGGCTGAGCCTTCAGCAGCTTGACCATCCCACACTGCTACATCTGCAGGGTCCTTTGAATAGGTCTTGTTTGGAAAACAAAATCTTCACTTTCCTTGGAAAACTGAAATAAAATATGGATCAGATTGCTGCCTTGTGGGTGCTAAGTACAGCTAATTAGGAACCTGTGTGAAGCAAAAGGCTGATTAAAGCCAGGGTGTTGAGAAGCAGGAGGCCACACTTCCAAGCCTGTTCTTTGCCTGCTGGGTGAGTGGACAGGGTGCAAAGGGTCAGAAGCCTCTGGGTCCACAGGTGACCTTGGGGATGTGCAGCAGAGCCCGTGTGTGGGCCAGCAGGTGCCTGCCCCTCACATCACTGTGGCTGCACCACAAATGGTAGGATTCCAGTGCAGCAGGGAAGTTCTCTAGTAGTGAGAACAGAGAAGTCCTGTGATAAATTGCTTGGGAATGGTCAATAGCAGGAAATCTTCAGGACCAGAAAGGTAAGCATGAGAAGAGTCCAACACTGAGTTTTGCAAAAAGAGGATTTTACAGCAAAAAACTTTTCAAATCCATATGATGCAGTTGTCATTTTTTTAATCTGAACAGGTGTCTCATTTGGTTTTTTAGAACTGTTTTGGGAAGGCTGAGGGTCTTTCATATGGTAATGCTTTCATTTATCAACTATTTAAATGCCTGTTCTCTTCAGGTTTCTCCTACTGATTATGTGCCAGGCAATCAGTTTTGGGTCTCTGCTTTGGAAGGGATTTAAAAGTCAGGGGGAGGGAAAGGAGAAAGAGGCAGGTCTGAGTGTTATTTTAATTATAAGAAAATATCTCTTGGAAGCAAACAGGCAATTATGAGCAACGAATTTAAATCAGCCACTCAGAGATTGCAGTGCAAAACATGCCTGGTTTTTAAAAGGCTGGGTGGGTGGAAGATAACCTCTCCATCATCCTGGGAAGAGGCTTGACGGGTGTTTTATGGCATGGCGATAGGTTTGTTGTCGGGTTTTGTTTTTTTAACTGGAGGAAAAGTGTGGGTGAAACAGAGTTGCCTTTGGTTTCCAACTGAAAAGCCTTCTCAGTTTGGCAGCATCACTCTGTGGGTGTGCTTGGACTGTGGTTATTAACAGTTGGACAAGTCAGCATTGTCCCCAGGCGTGGTAATTGTCAGCCAATTTGGCCAGTCTTGCTGAAAGCCAGCACTGGGAAGCCTTGTTGGTCAGGTTGTAACCCTGTGAGGCAAAGGGAAGATGTGGGGAGGTCACAGTGGGTCTCTGAGTTAGTGGGTGGTGCAAAATAATCTATATTTTACATCCTGTAGTCTTAATGAGCTGAATAGTGACCTTTAAAAATGCCAGCAAAGAAGCTTTGAGATGTTCAACAACATTAAAACTCTCATTCCCCAGTATTTGATACCCACAATGCCCATGAGAGCCCATTTTTAGGCATCCATTTGCAGTGTCTGGTGAGGGAAACTTGCACTGGTTGGCAAATCCAAACAGTCCACAGCATCAAAATCCCAGTTATGCTTTGCACAAGTAACACATCCCAGGGGTGTTTTCATTAATCTGTGCCAGAATTTGGGCAGTTTTGGGTGGGCACATGTGGCAATGAAAAGCTGGAGGAGCTGTGGTGGGGCTTGCTTTGAGGGAACTGTAACCCTGTGTTGGCTGCCCCTGTGTGTGGGAGGGTGCATTACAGACACGTGAACAGCCTGTGATGTGAAGGAGGAGGGTGGATTTGGGGCTTGGACCTCAGCCAACTGACCAGAGACCCAGCCCTGGGCAATATTTCCCCAATAATGCAAGCTGTCCTTTTCCCAGTCTTCTCTCATTTCTTAATGTCTCTGTTTCACTTCCTGCTTGTCAAATCATGACACTTTCCAAGGCTCTCCTGAGAGCCATCAACACAGAAATCTCAAGGCCATCCTTTCAATGATGTTTTTACACTTGCTGCTCATTGCAAACACTCACAGTCACCTGTTTGCAGCAGCAGAGGTCAAGGCCAGGCAGCTCAGCAAAGAGCTTGCCTGGAAATGATGGATGGAGAAGAGCAGGCTTGGAGATGTGCAAAAGTTTCTGGCACAAAACAGCTTCATTGAGCAGCAATTATTATATGATCTCCATAAATATTTTAACTTCTCAAGCTAAGTAAGGAGGAAATAACTCTTCAGGGTGGAATTAATAAAACCAAACCTCATTAAATCTCAATAGGATAGTCTGACAAATGTTTTAATAAGACAATGGGAAGGATCCCTTTATAGCTGGTCTTTTTTATGGTTTGTTTTTGCAACCCTGAAGAAGACACGTGGTAGAGGAGAGCCTAAGGAATTGCTGAAAAAACCTCTAAGCACATGCATTTCTGATTCAGCTCCTGAGAGCAAATGTCACAGCTGGGCTGGCAAATAGCCAGTTGTTAAGTGGGGAAAAAAAAATCACTGTTGTTCGATTTCAGATCTATTTGACTTACTTTCCTGTCAAAAAGCATCAGATCTTCACAAACACCCCAATTTTCTCTGCACTGGCTGGAATAGCTTTGTACCCAACACCCATCCGTCCATCCATTGAATCTGTATGCAGGGAGTTAAACTGATTTAAATGAATGTGGGAATCACCTGTTTGATTTTTCCTAAAGCTGAACCAAGCTTATAGGCTGTGGTTAGGTAATAAAAAATCCAACATTTAACTACACATACTCTCACAGCTTCAGCATCACCGTCACCTCGTTGTGCACCACCATCTGCCAAGGATCACCATGTCGTGCATATTTCCCCAGAAACACTGTGGCTGCAACAGGGAGAGGAGCACATTTTCTTGTGTTAGACAGAAGTCATTAACTGCTGCTGATTGGATGCTCAGAAAGCCATCAAGAAGCTAGTGCTTCCATACCAAACCAGGGCGAGAAATCAGCTCTGTGATCAGTTTCCCCAAAGGGTTTTTCCCCTCAGTTCATTCTTTCTTTATGATTTAATACTGGAGATAAAGGCAGAGATAAAGGCCCTCTGGGTTCCTGCAGTGCTGCTCCAGTTGCCATGGAAATAACCCTTGTTAACATCTTCACCATAGAACAGGAATAATTTGCTTTGGGGAGCTTGGGGTGCTCGTGCTGTGCTGCTGCATGCTCAGATAACCAGCAGTGCTGGGACCACTCCAGTCCCCCAAGTGTGGTCATTGCTGATGGAATGCAGGGAGCCAGGAGCATCCATCCCTGTCTCATGACTCCAAAAATTAGTGAATTCCTCCCAGAGGAGTCCCTGCCAGGAGGTGTGAGCACAGAGGGACAGACTGCCCAGCAGGGTTTCGCCTGGGCAATGTGCTGTCCCAGCAGGCACGGATGAGTGGGAAAGAGTCTGGGAAAAAGTGGTGCTGATGAGCTTGGGTTTAGGAGAGCCTCTTTTTCACTGCAAATATTTTCAGCTCTGCTGAGTGGTTTGCTTCAGCCAGGGCTGGTGAGGTCAGTGGCCACTAGGTCTGTTTGGGCTGCTGTTGAACTGGTTGGAGTGGTGTTGAACCAATGGTGGGTTGGTTGGGTCAGTGTTGGACAGTTTGTGCCAGTGTCCATCTGGTTGTGCCAGTGTCCCACCTCTGCTGGTGGCTGTCAGGAGGTGTAGGAGCAGGACTGTGCCACGGGCAGGGCTCAGCAAGGCTGTACTGGGAAAGGGGCCCTGGCTGCTTCGTGCAAATCAGTTGTTCTATTAAAATATTTTTAGGTGTTCTTTGTCTTGAAAAAGTTTGTATTACCCTGGGAGCTTCTGTCAGTCAAACAACACATTGAGCCCTGTAAATCATCCCAAGCCCCTTGAACTTCAGTGCTGGGTTGGCCGTGCTGCTGTGGGCTAGGGCTCTGTACAACGTGCTGAACTCTCTGAGCAGGGATCTCCAAAGCACAGGATGCACTTTTCACACCTGCACCCACTGCCTGCAAGGCAACGGTAAAGTGATTTAAAACCATGCCAAAGAGAGCAAAGGGCTTTGGATAGCACCTCTTTCCACCGTGGGGCGTGGAGGGGAGCAGCTTGTGCATGGGATGCTGTGTGGGTGCTGGGTGGCCAGAGGTCCTGGTGGTGCTGGGTGGCCAGAGGTCCTGGTGGTGCTGGGTGGCCGGTGCTGCCCCTCACCGTGTGCCTCTGCAGGTGTACGAGAGTGGCAGCAACGTGGACCAGTTCGTGACCCGCTTCCTGCTGAAGGAGACGGCGAACCAGACCCAGTCCCTGCTGAGCTCTGTGGAGAGTGCTGTGGATGCCATCGATGAGCAAACCAACCCCACAAGGTCAGCAGCATTCCTGCCCTCCTCCGGTGCAGGAGGGTGGAGGGGGAGGAGGAGGGCAGGAGGAAGAGGATGCTTTTGTGGGGTGAGGGAAACGCAGCAGACATTGTGCAGGAGCAAAGGGGAGCTGGGTGAGTGTCTGCCCTTCCCTTTGCCTCCCTTCCCAGCTTCCTGAACTCCGGGGGCTTTTCTCCCCCGCTCTCTCCTTTCTTGTCCCTTCCTCTCCTGCGGTGTCTGAGGTCCCCCTTAACAGGAGTGTTGTGTGTGGGGATGCAAACCTGGGCCAGCACCCTGGCACTGGGTTGGGCAGCGCTGGCTGCACGGGGCTGCCTCTCTGAGCAAACCCAGCGGTCCCACCCAGGACAAAACACAGGAGGAGACCACTTCAAGATTTCCCAGGTGCTGCCAGGGCTGAGCTATAAGGAGTTCCCAGCAGCAGAGGTAAAACCTCAGCACAGCCCCCTCGGTGTCAGTGCCATACAGCTCCCCGGAGTGCCACTGTCACGGCTCTAACCGGGACAGGCTGCCATGGAAACCCGTCTGTTTGTCTGATGTTCACGGAACGAACCCTTTCCTGCTGTTCCTTCAAAGCAGGAGGCCTCGGGATGCTTGCATGGGGATGTTTTGGCTTCCCCCAAGCCATGGGCGGGCAGAGGGACACATGGAGAATGAAAATCCCAGCTCCCTCCTAAAACAGATTCTGTGGAACACACCTGGGCACCATCCCATCAGCTTTTCTAGCAGGAATGCTGTGGGTTTCATCATCTCACATCTTTTTCTTCTCTTTGTTTTGTGGCAAACCTTGAATAAAAAGAGGTAGGAGGTCCAGCAAAACCATGAAGAGGAAACAAACCCAACATCAGGCAGAGCAATTAGAGCCCATGAAAGACTTTGCTGGCTTTAATTTGCTCGTGTGTGAGCCCAGATCATAATGGGGAGCATTGTAGTTGCTTTCTCATGAAGATAATAGCTAAAAAGAAAAATAAATCCCACAAAAAATTATCTCCTGCATCCGCATGAAGACAAAGGGGTGGCCTAAAAAGCACAAAAATAAAGGGCTGTAGAACAAAGTGCGAAGGCAGAAGTCCAAGATGGAGACACCTCATTAAATTGTGGTTTAAATAAATCTGTCTGGTTTTGCCTAATTTCCTGTCTATTGACAGGGGATTGTCCAGGACCAGCAGTGGTATAATTGCACAGCCTGTAGCAAAGGGATGCTCCTGCAATCTTTATTGTTGTTCTTGCTTGCTTATCTTGGAGATGTTCTTTGGGACCAGATCCTCATGTCGTGTTCCTGTCTATATGGTGGAGCCCACACTGGCTGATTTTTGGGGTAGCTGGGGAAAGAGAACACAGCAATTGTGCTTTGGAGGAGCCAGGTGCCAGGGGAGGGACAGGAGGACAGGGAGATGCTGGCTGCTGTGGTGCCCACTGGCTCCAGGGCACTCAGCATGTTGTCCCCAGCTGGGAGCTGCTTGACTAACAAGAGGTGCCAAGAGGAGCCAGGGCTCCCAGGCACCTCTGTCAAGAGTCAGCTGGCACAGAGCTGCTCTTGCTGGAAGGAAACACTGGAAATCCTTTGAGCTGCTCAGCCTCTCCCTCTGTGGCGCAGGCTGCCTGTTGGTGGAGAAGAAAGGAGAGGGTTGTTCTTCCCCAGACCCATTCCCATCTCACACACAGGGATGGCAGCTGCAAGCCCTTGTGACAATGGCAGGTCTTGGCATTCTCTCTGGTTTGCAAATAAATGAGGTCCTGGGAGGACCACTGAGGATCTGGTGCTGAGTGGTGGTTATGGATGCTCCATCTGTGGAAGTGTTTCAGGACACTTTTTTGGATCTTTGAGCAACCTCCAGGCCAGATGGGCTTTGTAGACCCAGACAAAGAAAGCAGGTTGGAGGAAAAGCTACAGTGGATGTGTTTCCATTCTCCAGAAGAACTGCAGCTGCAGTCTGTTAAGGGGATACACAGCCTCTGCTCATGGGCAGCCATTTGGGCATGGGCAGCCTGGATGACAGCAGCTTCTCCTGTCTGAAAGTCACCATAACCACAGCTCTGCAAAACCAGCCCCAGTAAGGTGCAGCTGGCTGGGCACAGCTTCAGGGGCCTGAATGCTCCATGTTTCAGGTGTCTGTCTAGGATAGAAAAAGTCCCTGAAGGCTGCTGGTGGTGCCAGGAGGGCTGTGCTGTTCCACAAGCAGGAAAGAAACGTGATGGCTGTTGGGAGCAGCCCATTGACATTCCTCTGTTTCTGACCTGTTCCCCACACTGGCTGATGCCAAAGGATGGTGCAGGAGGGAAGCCTGCACTGCCTGGCCACGGTGTGGGCACTGCAGCTCCCCAAGGGGTCTGACATCATTGGCAGAGCCACCAGAAATGATGCTCCCCAGAGCTGGCTCATGCCACTCTGTGCCTGCCCAGCTCTGCTGTCCTGACCCCCTGTGTGCTCTCTGGTTGCAGGCACTATCCCAGCAAGGATGGTCACAGCCTGAGTGACACCTGGTATGACAACCCCGTGCCCAGCTACTCTCCCGCCACCTGGATGGTCCCCAGGGAGCAAGGAAAGAGCTTCCAAACTGGTAAGTGCTGGCTGCCTGGGGTGGCTTGGAGCACTCCAGTCCCAGCAGCAGCACAGGGCTCTCAGGGGGTGCCTGCAGGTGCCCCTCACTCCATCACTGTCTCCTGGCTCTGCACAGGTTCCCCCGACACCAAGGCAGAGGGGCTGGAGGGGCAGATCAACAGGCTGGCCAAGCTGATCGGCAAGCTGGAGGACAAGGTAAGGGCCAGCATTCCCTGTGTGGGGCTGTCCTGCCATCCCAAGGACAATTCAGGGACCTTGTCCCAGCTGTTTTGAGGCAGGGGTGAGGACATGGTGTTGGGGATGTTTGTTCTAATGGGAGCACAGGGAGTTTTGGTGAAGGGTCCTGACCGGATGTGCAAGCGGATCTTGGAGCCCATTCCCTGTAGAGAAGGGAGCAGAGTCATTGCAAATGCTGGGGACAGAAACCCACCAAGCAGGGGGGGACACACAGCCTCAGCCAATCCACCACCTCCTCTGCTGCTTATTCCCTTTTCCCAGACCCTCTGGTTTGACCTGCACCAGCGGCTGTCAGACAGCGAGAGCACGGCTTGCACGGTGAGTGTGCCCAACCAGCACCCCTGGGTGCTGGGGTGCCCCTGCAGCACAGAGCCTCACCTGGGGGGTCACTATGTTTCTGTGGGTCTCACCTGCTGTGTCTGGGGGCTCGGCAGTACCTGCTCCTGGTGCGGAATGAGATGACGGTGTCACACAAGCACCTGGGCGAGTTCTGCAGCTCCCTGAAGCAGTACCTGAAGAGTGTGGCCGGCGAGCGGGACTGCTTCCAGTGGGTACCATCAGCAGCTGCATGTCGGGGGCTGGGGAGATGGGGGGCTTGGCGTGGGCTGCAGTGAGGACCAAGTGAAGGACTGAGGCAAAACAGCCAGGATTTGGGATGCAGTCATGGTCAGCCACCAACACTGCTTTTGCATGGAGTGCTGGGATGGGCGGGCTAGCCCTACCTGGGCTGCTGGGGATGGGTCCCCCCTCAGTAGCCCACCCTAGGGCACACCTGTGGCTGCAGAGGGGGGAGGGATGCCTCACGATGGGGGCTCACCCCCTCTCCCTGTTTCTGCCAGTGTCACCGCAGTGAAACTGCCTGATGGGGTCACCTTCATCGTCTACGAGTTCTGGGAGACTGAGGAGGACTGGAAGAGGTAGGAGAGGGGATGAAAAAGCCCATTTTGGGATGCTTGGGTGTGGAGGGTTGATAGAGCAAGCTCTGTCCCCTGTATGATAGCAGCACTGAGGAGCTGTCTGTCTGTCCTAGTGCTGCCCCTGTAACAGGACAGGGTGTTGGGGTGGGTCTCTCTACACCTCCCACCTGGGAGTGGCTTTGGATGTGGTGATGGGTGGGGTCAGTGTCCTGAACCAAGGCAGGGTGCTCTGCACGAGGGGAAGTGAGCAGGATTGCTGGCACCCAGCCCTGCCAGAGCCCGTGGTGCTGTGAGGGGCTGGGATGGTGCTTCTGGGGAGGGCTGGGTGTCACCCACTCTCTCCCACCCGGGTGCAGGCACCTGCAGAGTGCCACCTGCAAGGGCTTCCAGCACGTGAAGGTGGACACGCTCAGCCAGCCTGAGGCCATCTCCAGTGTGGCCGTGCCAGGTAGGAGGGTCGCCACCCCAGAGCATGGGGGACAGGGACCCCTGGGCAGCCAGCACCTCTCCAGTTGTTGGGGAGCAAGGGTGGGCAGGTGCATGGTGTGCAGGACAGCGTGAGCTGAGCTGGCTGGCTGGGGGTCAGGGTGATGTGGGGCTGGGCAGGGGTGACCCTCCAGTGATGTTCCCCTGCAGCTGCCTGGTGCACCCTGAGCCGAGAGTGACGGTCGGTGCCGGGGACCCGCCAGCACCTGTCCCCTGTGCGGGGTGGCCGTGACTGGGGGAGGTGTCAGCGTGACCTGGCTGCAGTGAAGGAAACTCCCGTGTGTGTGTCCCCCACCCCAGAGAGTCCTCCCTCAGCTACCCCATCACCTGGGTCATCTCTCCCGGGCGTGGGGTGGTCTCGGGGGAAAGGAGGACTGCCAGGGAGGGGCTGGCAGGGTTTGGGGAGGGGGACATCCCCCTGACATAGGTAGGTGGGGAGGGGGGCAGTGGGTGCAGACAGACAGGCACTAGGGAGCAGGAATGGGAGTGGGAGGCTGGAGCCACCCAAGAGCAGAGAGTGGGTTGGGGGTCTGTGCAAGTCCCCAGGGGCCACCCAGGGAGGAGACTGTGGGGGTTGAGGCTGTGCCTGGTGCAGTGTCTGTGCCTGCAGGGATGGAGACCCGTGTCCCAGGGGCGAGTCAGGGTGCTGGCAGAGTGGCAGTGGGGGTTTTCCTGCTCCCAAGGTGCCCCTTAGTCCTTTCCAGGTGTTGGGGGGGTCCCAAGGGTTTTCCTTTGCATGTGCACAGTTGCAGCTGGTGCCTGGCAAGTGTGAAGGTGGCTGCCTCCCCTCCTTCCTGGGGTCTATAGTTTGTCTGTGTGTCTGTCTGTCTGTGCCAATCCCACACTCACCCTGCCGTGCATGGGGGTCCCTCAGGGTGTGTGGCACAGGACCCTTGCCAATACCCTCTCCTGTCTTTATTAGCCACTGTACAATGGGACGGCGACTCCAAATAAAACCGCCATGGGATCCAGTGGTGTGGCTGTGTTGGGGGTGTGTGTCCGGGAGGATGGCGGGGGGGTCTCGGCGGGCTCTGTGGTCGCTCAGCGCAGCAGCCCCAGCACGGCCAGGGCAGCGCTCTGCCCGCACACGAAGGCACCGCCCAGAACGGAGAGAACGCCCCAGGCGATGAGAGCAGCCCTGCAGCGACACAGCAGAGGCTGCCGGGGTAGAGCTGGCCTCAGTAGCGGGCCACCTCTGTACCCCAGCTGCTCTGGAGCTCTCTGCAGGGTCCAGCTTCCTCTGCCTTGCTGCTCTGCATCACTCCCAGTCGATGGCTAAAGAGCTCAGCAGCCCCTCTGGGCCAACCCCAGTCTCCACTGCAATGACACACAAACCTTGGTCAGCAGATGCCACCACAAGGCCACCACGAGGTCGCTCCCAATTCTGCCTGCGCCCAGTGGTCCTGCTGAAGGAGCAGAGACCCGCATCCACCCACCCTGTGCTCGGCACGGCCACTCCCACACAGCCCCAGCTCCATCCCATCACCACATGCTTCCAGCCCTGTCCCCTACCCGGCTCCAGCCCCAATCCCCGGACCCCTGGGTCCAGTACCTCCGTGTTCCCTCCTCCCCGGGCACACAGCTGCCCTCGGCCCCATACTAAGCCTCTGGGATGCAGCACTCACCCCAAACCCAGCTGCTGCTCTGTCACAGGGTCCTCAGCACCGTGATCCTTCCCGAACTGTCCCAGGCAGGCTGGGACTCTGCCCTTGCAGTCTCCATCGCCCCAGCTTGCGTTGTCCCCTCTTCTCATGACAGGCTCATACTCTGGCAGGTGTCCCCAGGGGACCTCTCCAAGCCTTTGTCACCCACCTGGGTGCCCCTGCTAACCTTCTGCCTTGGCCCCTCCTGCACTCTGGCACCCTTTGGGGCACCCTCACTCCTCCCCACATGTCCATGGGCCCCCCCAGAGCACCCTTCTAACTAAGATCCCAATGTCCTGGGGTGCTCCTTCCACCCACCACACAACCTCCATCCTCACTCAGACTCTGCTGCTCCCCCAGGAGCACCACAAACATGCTTAAACACACACTTATCCCAAAACTTTCACCAGCACCATGTCAGGTCCCCCTGACATGGGCTGCAGGTGTGCCCTGGCCCCTCTAGACAGGAGTGGTGATAGGACACACCACCCTGGCAAAACAGGTGCCAAACTCCTGATGGCCTCCTGTCTTGGGGCACCCTGCCCCTCTGACCTCCACCCCAGCCCACACTGGGTGGTGTCCCAGTGCCACCAAACCCCACAGCTCTTCTGTCCCTAAAGTCACTCTGGTACCTGGGCACCTCCTTGATGCCTGGACACAGCCCTGGTACAGCCCCAGTAGAGCACTTCACACCCACATCCCCTTCCTCACAGGGTTCCCACCTTGACCAGGGTGACCCCCCGGGATCTGCCTGGGCCATGGCCCATGGGATCCCACACCCTGCCCCTTCCCTCGCCCCCACCGCTGCTGAACGCACACACTCACTTTTTGCGTGGCCCAAGGCTGTGGGTCCCAGTCATGCACACGAGGCACAGCCCTGCTGTCAGTGCAGAAGCTCAGCCCCAACACTGCACCCCTCACCCAGCCCCACTGCATTGTCCCCCACAAGCACAGCCCTGCACCCCCAAAATGGAGCCAGGACAGGCCACTTCCCACTGCAGTGACGTCCTTGGCACCAGTGAACCCCTCAGCACTTTCATCCCTCCCCGGTGCCCAATCTTGCCTGGGAAGATGAAGATGAAGAAGGCGCTGATGCCCCCAATGAGTTCGATGACTTTGCCAATGTCAGGGACGAACAGGGCGATGGCCAGCGTGGCAGCCATCCAGGTGACCGTCAGTGCCACCCGGCTGCGCCGCTCGCGTGCCTCACACTCCGCCACGGCCCCGCGCTTCGGGGCTGCCCACAAGTCCTTCACCACGGATCTTGGAGGAAGGATTGTGAGGGTGATGACACCCAGGGGAGCTGCGCCAGCTGGGGGGACACCTGGCTTGTCACCACTCCCCTCACCTGCCCAGCAGCACCACAATGGGGTAAATGGTGACAATGGAGATGCCAAAGAGCAGGCGAGCGACAATGACAACCGGGTCATTCCCTGGGTAGGACATCAGGACATCGGATGCCACAGCCTCACCAAAGGTCAGGTAGCCATAGAGCCCTGCTGACAAGGAGGTGGGGGTGGGTGGCCATGCAGTGAGCAGGACAGAGGAAGTCTGAGAAGGATGGATGAGCCAAGGGGTGAGGGGACCCCCGGGGCAAGGAGGAGTGAAGGGTTTGGTGCTGGGGTTACCAGTGAGGGAGTAGATGAGCAGGCAGATGAGCATGGAGAGCACAGAGACGGTGACCCAGTGGGAGAAGCTCTGGTTGCGCATGCTGCTGTAGATGGCCACACATGCCTCGTGGCACTGCAAGGCAAGGGGGGATGGTGCTGGGGCCCCATGCAGGGACAGCCCCCATCCCCAGCATCCTCTCCCCCACCTGTGGGTGCCCTGTCCTACTCTGCCCCATTCCCAGGCACTTGTGTCCTGGCACAGTCACCTCTGGTGACAGCCACAGGCCCCCCTTCCTTCAACCTGCCCTTCAAGGGACAGCATCCCCATAGTCTGAGATGCCATGGGGGGTTGCTAGCACTGCCCTGGCAGCTGCAGCCAGGGGGGCCAGGGTGACCTACCTGGAAGCCAAAGCAGATGGTGGGAATGACACTGAAGATGGAGATCCAGGAGGAGGACCTGTGGCATGTGGAGAAGAAGCACAGAACAAAGGGCATGAGGCTCTCATGGAGAAGAAACCTTCATGTCATAAACTGTGCAGCCTCGATGCCACTATGGGAATCTCTTGCCCAGTGATTCTGGGAGAAAGGGGTATTGCTGGGGTGAAAGCTGGGGCTGGGAGCTACCATCCACTGTGTGTTGTCCCCAGCTCAGCCCCACCACACACACACAGCCCAGTGCCACCCCAGCCCTGCCCCCATGTCACTGCTCATGCCATGGAGTTCAGGGCAGGAGGGACATGGGGCTGACCCTCCTACCTGGAGGGCTGGGGGGGCTCAGTCAAACGCAGGCTCTCTGCCTGCAGGTAGTACTTCAGGATGATGACCAGAGTGAGGTAGCAGGCAGCCAGTGTGCCCAGGATGCTGTCAGGGCATGGAAGAGTATCAGCACACAGCCAGGAGAAAAGGAGGGGTGTTGCCATGGCCCCACAAGTTCCTGGGAGGAGGTAACCTGGGGTACACGGTACCTAGGAGTGGGCTACCACAGGGATAGCCCAGATGGTACCTGGAGTACTTCTGGAAGCCGATCTCCCTGGGGACAGAGAGCGGGAAGATGACGAGGACGCAGAGAGCTGAGAGGGTGAAGCGCTGGTCCACATACCAGGGGGGCAGCTGGGGGACCCCATTCAGTGTCCCATTGGGGTACAGGGAGTCACACACTGTGGGGAGCAGCAGGGGGTCAGCTGCGCCCTGAAAGATGGCCCAAGGAGGTCGGGAGCATCACACCATGGCAGAACTGGGGAGCCCCATGTCCTCAGAATTTCCAGAAAAACCCTAGGGGTAACCCCAGCCCACGTGGGACCACCTTCCCTCACTCCTGAGAGCTGCCGGCCCCAAGCAAGCCCTAAACACAGTGAGGGGAACAACTCACGTTTCTCCAGCTGGTCACCCACCACCCTGAGGAGGGCCACAGAGATCATGAAGAGGTTGAGGAGGAAGCAGACCTCACAGAGCTTCCCCACGGCCGCCCCGCACACAGCCCGGACCACGGCCTGGTAGGTGGGCTGGGCGCTGAGGGCCGCGGCATAGCCCAGCACCGCCAGCCCGCTCACCAGGAACACCAGCGAGCCCTGCGGGGACAGAGGCAGCAAGAAGCACCATACCGAGCCTCCATCAGCCCCAGACCAGACCCGGCAGGGCCACAGCCAGGGACCAGGGTACCGGCCAGACCACCTTGTGGCCCTGGGTAACAAAGGTCAGCAAAAGGATGGGGACACAGCCTTATATGAAACTTTGGGTTTAGATTTGGGGTTTTGGGGCATGTTCGGGAGCAGACACCCATTTACTTTGGGTTGAGCTACAAGCCAGCTACAAGTGTGGCTTCAGCTGCGAAGAGCATCCCCAAGGCAGCACCGCAACAACAACCTAAGTCTGTCGCACCGCTGCCCTCGCCGGGGTCGGGACGGGGGTGTCGTGAGAAGGGGGTCC